TCATTTTCAGTTAACATTCATATTATATTTTCCAGGTTCAAGTTAAAGATTGGTAGTTGTTCTCCACATCTCTGGTTTTGCTCAATTCAGTGTAAGTAGAGTCCTCATCGTGATCATTTGCAGCGTCGTTACTTTCGGCATTCACACTCAACGATTGATAATTTTCTTCTGTGTTCATTTTCGAAAGATCTAGTTCTTGATAAGTTGTATCAACTTCAGTTGTTTGTTTTTCAGGATTTGACTGAGGTTTCCTGTTTCTAAATTTACGACGAGAACATGAGACAATGTATGCAAGAAAAAGTCCCATGATAATCCCAGACACTACTGATACCACAACGATATACCATTCAGTTCCACAATTGATGTCATCTGAAGATGCTTTGTCTGTATACAAACGACATTGGAATTAGCATATATCAGGGAAACAGCGTGCCGAATGCAGTGGCGGCGCCAGGCTTCCAAATTTGGGGGGCATTTGAGGGGCAAACTCAAATTTGGGGGGGGCAAGATAGAATTTTTAAAAAGGTCGCCCCCCCCCCCAGGAAATTCGCCCCCCCCCCCCCAAAACATGGCGATATTCCTAGGAATATCGCCCCCGGGGGCGAATATTCTAGGAATATCGCCCTTCAGGGGGGTGGGGCGAATACTTTAGGAATATCGCCCCTCTTTAGGACATCCGCCCCCCATATATGCGATGTGGTTTATTCAAATAATTTTGTGATACTTTCATCTTATTATTGCCTTACACGTTTGAGAATTTAACTCTGCAAAACTAAAGCTTTTTTGTGTTTTTTTGAAACGTATTATTGGAGTATTGGCAAGTTTTACCATTCAGAGATTTACAAACAAATATTGAAACTGTAAAAAACAGTTTCATGTATACGCGCATTCACTAATGAGTAATGACAACTTATAAGCCATACATTTTCCGATAACGACGAATTGTGTAGCCTTTAGTCGCTCTTAGTGACTAATATTTTTTTTTGAGGGGGGGGGGGCAAAATGAGGGGCAAAAAATAATTTGGGGGGGCATTTCCCCTCCCCCCCCTTGCCCCCCCCCCTGGCGCCGCCACTGCCCGAATGCCTTGCTGGGAGAGGGTCATGGATTAGGCTCTTTCTTGCTACGCCGTTGCGTATAGAGCGCGCGGGAGATATAGACCAAAGCGCCTTATCTCTCTGCCTTCATAGATAGACAGAGAAGCAAAGTTGTATTTTGTTTGTTTGTTTGTTTGTTTGTTTGTTTGTTTGTTTGTTTGTTTGTTTGTTTGTTTGTTTGTTTGTTTGTTTGTTTGTTTGTTTGTTTGTTTGTTTGTTTGTTTGTTTGTTTGTTTGTG